AGAGCCAGGCCGGCTGGCCTCTCTGTTCAGCTGTGGCGCCTGTGGTGGGTGACTACAGGTTAGAGCAAGTGAGTCAGCTGAGAGAAAGAGCGGCTGGGTCAGGGTCCTCGGCCTGTGGAAGCCCCCCGCGCAGTTTTACTCAGTTAGTCCTGAGGGTCTGGAAGGAGGGTGTTGGGGTTTGGTGGGAGTCTTTGTCCTGTATGGTCACTTGGAACAAAATGGGAAGAATGGGGCAAATTTGTTTGCCTATGTGAAGCTGCCAAGCATGATACCGATGTGGGTGTCTGTGTAAGTGGTTAGTTGGGGCTGCCAGCAACACCCCTCTTTAATCCCTGAGTGTGATCTCCAAGTGGTTGGGGGAGGAGGGGACCATGGAACTGGCCAGTGGCTGCTGGGCTCCTTCCTCGGCCAAGCCTGCTCAAAGCCATCCATCAGGCTTTTCTTATTAGTCTTGACCCCACACAACTGCAGCCCACGTCCCAGCCCGCCGTGCCGTGTCAAAGCCTCCCACGCTCTGCCTTTCTTTACCCCAGGCTCCCTCGGCACAAGCCTGCCTGTCCCCAGGGCTGGGGACCTGGGAGCCCACACCGCAGGAGTGCGCAGGACTTCGGCTTCTGCCTTCCACTGCTCAGGGCGTTTGCGCTTGGGGCGTGGGCATCTTCTCCAGGAACTTGCAGTCTTCCTGGCACAAGCCCCAGGAGCCTTGTGCCAGTGCTTTCTCCTCCCAGGACTTGGTCTAGGGTGCCCTGGCCCTTCTCAGAGACACCGGGTGGGGTCTCAGCACCGTATCTCTTGGGCCTCGTCACGTCAGTGGGCTCCAGTGGCTGGTGTCGACGTCGCTGGGCTAAGGACTCCCTATGAAGCCACAATCACCCCTCTTCCCTATGTGGGGAAGGGCAGAGGAGAGTGTCCAGGAATGCACAGGGGCCCGACACTAGCCGCCCCCCAACAATGACTGATGGGGGGGTGCATTAGGATCCCAGCTCCCTGACCGACTAGGACATCCCTGGGGCGCCCGGGGGTTAGCTCCGCTGTCTCCCGCACACCCTTTAGCGGCTCCCCTTCCTCGCCTTGCTTCCCCACCCCTCGGTGTTTTCTAGAATCATTCCCAAGTAAATCTCAGGGGCTGCTCCCGGGGCACTTGGCTAGTCTCTCGGCCTCTGCCCGACGCCCCCACTGCCCCGTCCTCTCCAGCTTTCGTTCGAAGGGCAGGTGCGGTGCTGACTGCGCCCAGCCCTGGCTCTGTGCCTGTGGGCCTCCGCCCGGGGCTGGGACCCACGGCTTCTTTCACGCCCAAACGGAAACCCCGAAGGAATCGACCTCCTTTCTGGCTGCAGTCACTGACCTGTCCAAACTTGGAGCCCAAGTAACCCCTGGCTAGACCATTTCCATCCCGGGGAGAAACGCTGCGCACTGAGTGGTCAGGAAGTTCATTTAACGTGAGCAAGCAGTTTAATTCTGCCCGGTGCGCGCAGTCCGCCCTCCCTCGGGGCGACAGCCAGAGTTCCCGAGGGGAAGCGCACCTGCTCTCGCCACCCACGGCGAGGGACCCTCTGAGGCCGGCCCCCTCCAGGTGGGACAGCTGCCTCAGCCCGCGGGGGCTTTCGTTCCCGGAGAGGGGAAGCTCGCAGAGGGCACGGGGACCCTCAGCCCTTGGTGCTGCCACAACGGTCCCTTGTCCTCCGCCGTCCTTCGGCTCCATCCAGTCCAGCTCACGGCCGCCCACGGGGAGCCCCAGCAGCCCTAAAACACCTTCCGGGGCACGCAGCCCTCCAGCTCCAGCAGCTCCGGCCAGCCCTCGTATTTGTTCTTGCTGGGGGTGTTCTTCAAGAACTAGGGTGCGAGAGGAGGGGGAGAGAGAGAGATAATGGGGGAGGCTGTTCGGAGCCCACCCCTGCGTTAGCGTTGTGCTTTAAAACCTAAAGGCTTCCCCACCCCTGCCCCATGGGGGGCGGTGCTGGATATTACTAGCCCGTTTCACAGAGAGGCCAACTAAGGCTCAGAGGGGATGCAACTTGCCCAAGGCTTCAGAGATGGGATCAGAGCCTAGCCACTGCATGTCATGGAGTGGTGGTTGGTGGTGGGGACACCAAGAGTGGACTGTGGCTGCAGAGCTTAGCCCCTCTCTCAAATTCTCCAGCAGCTCCTCTAGCATATCCAAAATAATAATAACAACAATAAAAAAGCATCTTAGCAATTACTGATTGCTTGCTCTGTGCCAGGCACAAGGTGCCTTATGTATTTAATCTTCAGAGTAGCCCTAAGAAGTGCATACTATTATCACCCTGTTACATGGATGGGGAAACTGAGGCACATGGGGCCAAAGTAACTGCTTATGGCCACCCAGCTGGTATGTGGTGGAACCACTGTGCAATATTAATTCATATAAATGATAAACACACAAAGGGGATAAAATCAGTTAAGATTGCGTTTAAAAGGCCCAGGCTTAGTTTTTGGGAGAAAAAGTGTAAATGGCAAAATCTACGGCTGGAATAATTGTGGCTAACCCTTCGGGAGAAAGAACAGAGTCTAGAGGCTGCTTCTCTGAAACCCAGTTTCCCACGGGTGGGAACAAATGACACCATGGTTTTCATCGCGTCGTGGTCTCTGGTTCATTTTTGGGTGATGGGTCCCGGTCAGCTGATCATAAATTTCAGATAAAGAATGGCGCTGACTTTCCTCCACTGACGCGCTTCCTTCTTGCTGTCTTGGCCTAGTTTTGACGGGCCTGGAAGCTGTGCTTTGGGAAGAACAGCGCCTGCCCTGCATCTTCCCAGAA